GAGAGAGCGTTTGATTGGACGCAGCATTAGTATACGCCCCCGAGTGCAGGAAGAGTCAAACTATTACTACTATTATCTATAAATTGCACATGTACAGTTTAGTTTAGTCATACGCTGCTCAAGATATTTTGCACACAATTTTACTGCAGATTGCATATAGTGTATATATTATGGTCTTATATTTTCTATTATATTTTATAATATTCTTATTTTGTGATTCTTTATTGTACTTTGTACACTACACTCACCAATGCCGCTGTGTCTGATTTGAATTTCTTCTACGGGGGATCAATAAAGGAACATCTTATCTTATCAACTACTTTTTATTCAAGAAACTCTAAAATACCGTTAAGATTACCTAAAAAACACCTGAAACAGGACTTCCTGTCCCTGTTGGATAGAAACTGGAGGACACGAGACGAATAAAGACAGAGGAAATAAAAACACTGAAACATCAGTTTTGACTTCATGGAGACTTTAAAACATTAAGGAGATGATTTGGCAGACGGGACAGAAAAGGTGACGAGTTGTGATGAAGTCATCGAGTAAAAGAAATCAGATCTGTGTGGTCCTGATTGGTCAGCAGCACTCTGCACTCCTCTTCCTGGTACTGTTATTTCCTCCAGGCCTTGTATATTGTGGTTTGGCCCCATGTGGATCCTGATGACAGGCCTCCTGCTGAGGAGAGTACTCTCATAATGAGGACCACATGTGGGACAGACCATCTGTTCTCTCGCACAAAAACTACTAATTGCTGAGTTTTGATTTTGAAACTCCTGCAGGATGGATGGATGTGATTATGGAGTCACACAGGGCCGATCGTCAGCCAATAGAAAAGCTCCAGTTTTTCTTTATATGAGTTTAGGGACCACAACTGAAGCAGGTAATTGTGCTGTAGATATGGGACGTGTATAATCAGTGTCTGATGACTGATTGGATGTAGCAGCGGTGATGTAAACAGCGTGTAGGGCACACTTTATCCCGCTGTTCTCACTTTAATCCTAAAGGAACAGGTTTGTATTCAGACTCTTAATCCCGCTGTTACTCTGCCGGGTTTTTGAGCGGCTCTGTTTGGCTGATGGCCGACTAAGTGGATGAACTTTATCTAGACTTTATGTTGACATCCTGCCGCAGACTCAGCTCTCACTGAGACAGAGGGTTGTGCTGATTCACTGCTCACAGTTTATACTCAGTATGTACAACATGTGTTTCTGTGCTCAGGAACATTTATTGCTCTGTTGGCTGCTGGGTGACGTTCTCTCAATATCAAACTGCAGGCTGCTGGTGTTTACCAGGCAGGGAGGTCTGGTGTGTAGAAGCATCTTATGGGGCCGTTCAGTTGTTGTGTCTTTTGTGCACACAAATATTTTGGATGTATTAAAAGGAACTGGGTACATTTTACTGGATCTTCCACATATGCTTCTATATCGAGACTACCGCCAGCAGCTCACTTACGGTTTAGCCCTCCACTAACTTAAAAGGAGACAAAATGATTTAATCATGTGCATCTTCTAGACTTTACAAATGTTAATGGATCAAATTCCGATCAAGATACAAGTTATTTTGCTCCAAAAAATGTATCCATTGGTTTACAGCCGCTTCTTTCACAATGCATTATGGGAAGTGGTGTCTCCACTACCCCCACTGTACCAATGAACCAGAATATCCAAATACAGCTGCAGTATTGGTCGGGGTCAGCGCCGCCGGATCGAGGTCCCGCCCATACACCCGCCTAGAGAGAGAGAGAGTATATACTGCAGTCAGCCACCAGG